AAGAGGAAGCGCTAGAAAATTCTTGGAAAAGCATCCAGCCGAAAACAACAAAATCTAGACAAAGCCTAGAGCATTCCTGGGAAAATGCCAGAAAAGCCTTTGAGAATCTTCATAAACCAACAGAAAACGTGAAAAAATCTACGAAAAGGCAAGGGCATTGGCCGGGACCATGCCGCGACCAGCCCGGGATTCGAGCCCAGGACCATTTTGGACCCTGCTTATTTTCCCGCGCGGGTCGAGAGGGTGCCCCAAGATGTAAATCAATTGGGATGGCAGAATCCACGTCGCAATCAGGTAGCTTTCCTGGAGAATTCCAACCGGATTTCGTCACTGCAACAAGGGTCCGGAGGGGTAGGGGAGGTAAGGTCTAGGTCTAAGGCTAAGGACTAGGTCTAAGGCTAAGGATAAGGCTAAGGCTAAGGCTAAGGCTTAAGGCTAAGGCTAACATCGACAGTCACGCCTCACCCCACGGTGTGGGGTCGGCGGATTTTCACTGCCTGCTCGTAACTCCTTATTTTTCCGCTTTGCATCTTAACGAAGTGAAGTGGAATTCACTTCCAGACAGTTGGTTTCACGTACCAACAGCCTAATGAAACTAATTACAAATTGGGACACGAAATGGCATGCATCAGCAATGAAAAGACGACCAAATCTTCCATGAGAAGACAATGCTCAAATGCATGAAGTGAACTTCAATGCTGCTGATCTCGAATACAACGTGCAATCTCATCAAAGGACAAATTCAAAGATTCTGGGTGTTTCGGCACGGGCAAGCCACTAACACGCCAATGCAGATCCAAATGTCTGCTCGGCGGTGAAGTTTGTCCCAAGTATAAATCCAAGGCAACAGCTGAATCAAAGCCCGAGGCCAGTTTCGGTCACCCTTTGAGGGCAGGAAACCAACTACGAATACCAATCCAGTTGAGCTCCTCTGTGCGATCAGTCTTTTCTCTATCATGCTCGTAACTCCTTACGCCTCACCACATGCATACATTGTACATGTTGCTTGGAAGTTTGTAGGCACCACCAGCTAGAACACGATGTTAGAACTCCTGCCTCATCCTCCAGCCGAGCTTCCCACTTGGACGCACATCTCATGATGGCTCCAAGGGCGAGCGTGCCACTCAAGGTTAACGTAATCAACACACATTTCAGCGTAGTAAGCTTCCGGTTTTGTTGTGGTGTCTCTTTTTTTGTTCAGTTATTTGCGCATGCAGTACACCATGCCCCTCCAGCATGCCCGGCCAAGTAGCTCCACCTGTGCAATGGTATCTCCACCCAGGTACTGGCGCCGGCTGCAGGCCAAGCGTGCGCTGCGCTCGGCAGTGATTACCAGCGCGGAATCCTTCGGCGTGTCCATCGCCAAGCGCTTTTTTGCCCTCTGTGGCCGTAGACGCTTACCGTTTCCGCGGCATGAGCAGTTCCTCGGAGGGGTCAACGGTCAATGGAAACAGCTCTGTTTTCCGATGGGTTCACGATTGTTACATATATATATATATATATCAGAATCATAAGTACTGCTATACGGGGACCCGGAGGCAGGGTCACAGAGAGGTCCACCCGACAGTCCTGCATAGTCTATAATAGCAAGCTAACTGTACACAGGCGGGAACTCTAATTGCAGGACATCATTGGGACCATTCTGCATTGTGGCACAACATGCGCCACCCCTAGCAGCGCATGCTGTGCGGCTAACCTTTGCACCTGTCCACCCTGTGCGCTTGTCCACGCATCCAAGCTCAGGAAAGCAGGTGCCGGTGTCAATCCAGTTTCAAGAATTAGGCCGGGCTTGGTTGTTTGGGCGACTGGGACGTCCGAGAGGCACGTTTCAAGGTCTAGGACTCGGTCAGGGATGACTCGCTCAGAGATTCAGAGATTCTTTAGGGGGGTGATTTGTTGCAAGGATCTGGGGTGGGCCCTTGAGGCACAGTCCGCACAGTCCCAAAAAAGCAACACCTATTTTGTTCAACTAGGACTTCAGGGAGTGGATCGATGAGAGGTTTTCACACACCGACTCTCAACCCCATGGAGTCCAGGTTCAACGACGAGTGCTCATTGAACCTCCTTGAGCAAACTCTTCCTTGGGATTGAGGATGTGTTTTTCCACCCAAACTTAAACGCCAGCAATTCCCCAGGTTGCAGAGCTCATCACACTTCCAATGCAGACGGTTGAGCTGAGCAAACATCAGCCTCCAGTTGGATCTGAACAAGCTCTTCCGAACATGCGAGGCATTTGACAGTGCATTTGACTTCAACGGTCTGCATGAGTCCCAGTTGTGCGCTACATGCGTTGGGTTCCCCACCTGGACTGAACCGAGAAGTCGAGGTCTACTCCTGGCCGATGGCCGCTCAGTCCTGGACGGTGTCAGTGGGAGCTTCCTTCCTGGCCGCCACTGGGCAAGAGGGAGTGATCCAAAGACGTTCTCCAATGATATGAAGATGATTAAGTGTTACTGAAACTAATGTCAAACTCCGCCCTAAACCTTCAATTTCCACCTGTCAGCGCTGTCAGGTTTCGTTCTTTAAATAGCTGTCAGCTGGGAAACCCACCTGTCAGGTGGAGGGTCTTTAGAATTGATGTGAGTGAGGGTCATTTCTTATTCTTCGGAGTGGTTCTTTTTTCTTCCTCTTCTTTGTCAGGTGAGCCATTCATTGAACATTCTTTAGACAGTGACATGTTCACACTGCACTTGTTTAGGGTGGACATCGTGGCAGCTGAGAAACGAACAATGCCAGAAGCACTCTTGCTTGATCATGATTCATGTACATCCATGTCCATCCAAGCTGAACATGTCATGGATCTATTTACATTCCTCTAGACAAGCCCTTACTCCAGATACATTTATGGTACATTCATTGAGCTTGTTTAGACCCCGCGGTGGGGACCGGAACGTCAGCGGACTCGACTCGTTGGGGTCAGGAGCTTTTAAACGTTGGTCCATGTCTTAAGGTCCATGAGAAAAGGATCCGAAAGCATCCAGATGATCATCCAGTAGGATTAAACTTGGAAAGGATCCATCACCTGGGGATGAATCGGGATTCCCTCCAACATGTTACTGGATCATACAAGCGGAACATGAGCAGAAGAGTTTTAGCACCTTCATCCCGACTTCTTCTCCAGGACCTGCACGAAACATCAAAAAAAGTCAATACTTTCCATGCCTTCGGCTCTGTTCAAAACTCGAGGGCTCAATAAGTCATGGACCTGCCTAGCTGCCCAGACCCATGCGAGTTCCGGAGAGGGGGTCAATGTGTTTGTCTCGCAGGAATGGTGGCCATCATGGGCCCCTCTGGCGCTGGCAAGACCACCTTTATGAACGTGCTTTGTGGGAAGGTGCTGTGTGCCAGAGCTTTCCGGTGCGACAGACCTGGGTTGTGATGGACTTCCCAGGAGAATCTCATGGAGAATGGCAAGGCTTTGCAGTGCCCCTTGCAAAACTTTGGTTCGGGAAAGTCATACATGGGTTTGAGTGAAGAGGATTTGCCCAACCAATGGGTTACGAGTTGTGATTGCAAAAGTTATGATGTGTCATGATCATTGACTGTAGCTTTGCCCTAGGGCCCCTCATGGTGAGACAAACCCATTCTTGTGCGCGTGTGTTAATATGTATATGTTAGAGCATCTGAGCATCTATGCATATGATCAACCACTATATTGAACTAAGTTGAAATTAACAGCAGCCCTCCTGAAGGTGCCTTTGCTGCATCACATGATTTTGTTTTTTCATGCTGTTTATACTGCACCCTATGCCATGGTCCATTCTGGCCCTGTAGGCCTGTAGGGCATCTTGTCAAAATTGCAGAGGCTATGCAACGCCTCAAAATTCCTGCGATTGCAAGAAAAGCCACGCAACACAAGCGCTTTGACCTGGAGACGATCCCGTTGAACCCCACTGGAAATGAAGCAGTTTCGGGCCGCGCATCATTGTGCAGGCAACCTATGGTGAGATGACTGGGCAAGTGACCTTCAATGATGGCGACTGGGTTTGTTTAAAGAAGTGACGTTTTTTGTGATAGAGTCGGGCCTGTTGATGAGATTTAGATGGATTTGGGTTAGTTTGAGCTGATTGTCGGATTCGAGGTCAGCTCGACCTGCCGACCATGAAGCAGGGCATGGGCTTTGTCCCACAGGACGATATCGTCCATGAGCAGCTCACCGTTCGAGACTCGGTGGAAGGGGAGGGAGCTGATCGGAGTCCATGCCAGATCAGATGATCATAGAGATTCGTTAGAGTCTGCAGGGAGTTAGTTCAGTGAATGCCAACCACCCCGAGGTCGCAGGGAGTTAATTCATGTTCTTCCACTCATCTAAGCTAAGAGGATTGTACCCTCGCCTGCGCTGCTCAAAACCGAGGAGAAAACATTTTCTTTTCGGCGAAGCTGAGAAACCCATATGATGCGCCGGACGCCTTGTTGGAGGAGGTCGTGGAAGATGTTCTCAATGCCACCTGGCCATCTGGGGAACGAAAGTGTGAACCTTGTTTGATGGATCCCAGCGGCCGGAGGAAGTAGTCTTGATGCCATGGTTGGCCAACATATGTTAAATCATATCATATATCCTCTAATCGCCTCTAATGGTATTTTTTGATATTAATTGATCATCTTTTTGAATCCAGGGCGTGGCTTTCTTTCAGCCATTTGGATGCCCCTGACAACACTGGTGATGATCAACCATTGCCTTTCGATCTGGACCTGGTGCATTGACCAGCCCCTTGGAGCCAGACACCAGTTCTCGACGGGCACCGAGGTGATGCAGATGACTCACATTCAGGGTAGTGTGGTGGGTGGAGTAGAGGAGTGGTGCTGCGATTCTTTGCTGTGCTTTAACAGTTCCACATGGCCGTGGGAAGAAGAGATCTCATGGCGTGAAGGGGGTGTTTGCCGGTGTTTGCTTTTCATCCATGGCTTAGGCATCAGACAGACCAGCACCATGCACAGTGCCACGCCAGCCCTGTGGTCGAAGGGACTAGCCAAAACACTGTGTCCTGGGTTGGGCCGCCAGGAGCGGGGCATCAGTGGCGGCCAACGGAAGCGTGTGAACATTGGCCTGGAGTTGGCCGCCCGCCCGACGGTGCTCTATTTGGATGAGCAGCTCGGTCCAGTTGAAGTTCGTCGATCCGACTTCTTCGAGTTTCGACTCGTCCCAACACTCCCCGAAGTCATCAATGGTGGACAACCACCCTTTTGAAGAAGTCCACGTCCATGACAATTTCACGGAGTGTATCTTGCCAGCTGAGGAAAACTACTTTATAGCCATTCAATACCTGTAAGTAAGCAAACGCACACACATACACAATTATATAGTTGTGTTGAGCTTGGGCAGGCTGGGGTGCAGAAACATCATCATAACTCCCATGTCATGTTTTGGCTCAAGAGCCAAAAGAGTTTCTACTTTGAATGGGATTTGTTTGTTTAAGACATACCCAACTGCGCATCATTGAATCTGGGCTTGGCTCAAAGGACATAGGTTGTCAAAAGAAATGACCAATCCTTACTGCCTCAAATGCATTTTCTGATGGAGGGTGACTGGACTCCTTGAAACTAACGCAGCTTCTTGATTGATAGAACCCCCATATGATCAGAGCTTGAACGATGCAAATGGGGTTGCTTTGTGTAGCTTGAGTCTAACTTCCAAGGCTTGGCCGCCCCCAAAGGCCCGGCCTTCGCCCAGCTTCAAGGCTTCGCAGGCCACACCGGCGAATTTCGCCTCCCGAGGCCCACTTCTGGACTGGACAGCACGTCCTCCTTGCAGGTCATCAACTCCTTAAGCTCTCTGACCGCCTGACCGACCTGATTCGACCGGGGAGCTGACCAGCGTAAGGAGGTTTGGGGCAGATCAGCAGGGTTTGGGGCTTTTTCGATGCGCTGTGTGGCAACAGGTCTAAGGTGGATGGAAGGTTGGGGCATCCTGGTCATTACAGGTCGCCCTACAAATCCAACTTTCGAGTCACTTCTGCTGGTTTGGGTGATCGAACCATGGGTTTGGATGGTTTTGGTACGTGTGCAGTATGAAGTGTGAGTGCTTGGGTAACCTGTGGTGATGGAGAAATCCACTGTCCAGAATCCCAGGCCAAGACCTGCAGTAGCTTGAACTGGTTAGGCCAGGAAAAGTGGTTTGTTGGCAAACCGGGGTGATGTTCACTGGGACTGGATGCCAGAATTGGGGAATTGGCTTCACAAGATGGTCTTCACATGTTTCTAACACGGTATTCGTATCATTCGGTTCGGTCACCTAAACTGTTAAGAGTGTGGGGGGGGTTACATGACAAGACTGCCGCTTGCGAACCGCTGCCGCCCACTGAATCGGACCGAATGCTGAGGCAAAATGGCTCGCTTGGACATGACCATTGCAATGGCCCCTTGGTCCAGTGAGCCTTACGCCTTACGCTTGTGCAACGAAGTGGTCTGACGAAGTGATAGAGCAAGCCAATCTCAGAACATGTCAGAATCTTACTGGACGTATTTGGCAGTACAGGATCTTCACAGATTGCTTGGATGTAAGACCAGACCGTTTTGGTAAGACCAGACCTACAAGGAAGCGATCAAGGTATTGAAAAAGGGCAAGTTGGCACGGCCCGGTGGTGTATCAGCACTCGTTCTTCTGAGACTCTCACGATGGTTGTGCTCGCTTGTTTTAATCGGTTCCATGCTTTGCAATTGAGGTCATTCATCAGCCGCGGTATCCCCTCTTCAGCTTGTTTGATGATGTTTTACTGCTGGGGCCTGGAGGTCGTACTGTGTCTCGGCTGTGATGCGAGGTCGTTTCATTTTGAAAAGGGGATCTCCCAACATGTTCTCGTGGCCGTTATTTTTTTGATGTGTTCCGCTCTTCCGGTTCTGACTTGAGGATGTTTGTGCCACGGACAATTGTTCAGCCTCATTGCCTTCATCAACTCAAACACCGGTCGTGCGTCTTGTGTTCTGTGCAGCCAGCATGGTGTTGTATTGTGGGCTACTACCCAGTTTCAGGGATCACCTTGCATATCACATCTGAACAAATCACCAAGTTCATACAAGTTCTAATTTTCCACTTGCTCTATCACGTTCCGCTACAGATATAGTGTATTTGCACAATTTCCTGTTGCACAAGTTCTCCTCTTCCTTTCCAAGCTCGAAGTAGGTACATAGACATGCTGATGGCTTTGTTGCGTTGGTCTTCTACGTTCCCGGTGGCCATATGAATAATAGACTCTTGACATTTACTTGCTAATTTGTATATCGTCCCGCTTGCCGCTTGCGACTGGCCAGCGGCCTGAGTCTGGACTGAGGTCTACCTGGGGCCATCGCAGGGGGCAAAAGGTTACTTCACCTCCCTAGGATTCGAGATGCCCGACTCGGAGCATCTCAGCTTCTAAAATGGCCCCGGCCGGCAGCAAAAACAAGGTCTGTCAGGTCTGTAGAGTATCATGCAGCTGCAGGCTTGTTGGGGTGCAAAGACCAGCAAAGACTCCGAAGTGTCAAACGATTTGTGCTATAGAAGTGGGATGCCCATCCGTGACATTTTGAGACTCAACTGGATAGAAGCTTGCAAAGCTTCCAGTGAAAGGGAAGGACCTTCCGGGCTGCTGCTCGTTGGATCATGTCCTGCCAGGGCCAGCTGCAGCTGATGTTGGGCTTGACTAAAACCAACGGAGTGGAAACCAGGATGAGGGCGCAAAGGGGTGGGGTGAATCAGTGAAGACTGGAGTTAACACGCGTCAGAAGTATGTAATTGTCACCGAGCCGCATGCCCACTCACCCACTCGCGAAAAACCACTTAGTGGAATGCCAAGGAACAGTGGCAGCAGCAATCCCCTTTCGTCAGGATTTTATTGATACCGTTGGCGCCAATTGGGTTAACAACCTCCTGAGAGGGGAGTCTCTTCAAAACTCTAACCACACAGTTTTCCGATTCCAGGTGACCTCAACCCTCGCACAGGAGTGCCTTCCTCCAGTTGTTATCTCAACTTCTCAGGAACCCAGCAGATTGGCTCATGGATGTCTTGTCTGGAGTGGTGCCCAATGACCAGCTTTCAGACTTCCGCCCGGTGCATTGGCTTGGGACAGTCCGAAGCCTCCACCCCGGTGCATTGCACTGGGATGATGGGGCCTTCCATGGCCTTCAAGGGCGCTTTTTTAATCGCAAAAAAAAGCTTGTGCAAGCTAGGAGTGAGATGCCTCGGCCTGCTAAGAAGTAGGTGTCACTTAGCAGATTTAGCCTGACACACCTTTCCTGTCAGTGAGTTGAGGGAAGAAGGAAAGCATGTTTGCTTTGACTCCATCCATCCACTTTGTGCATCCAATCCTTCTTTTTAGCTACCTGCGGCCAGCCACCTGGGCCTACTCATTTGCATACTTGGACAGGTGAATCGGATGCGAACAAACTTCTATTGTCGATCAATCAAACATTTGGACCCAGCAGTTCAACGAGAAGCTACTAGGGGTTCCTGGCATCGCTACTAGGAGCAAGGACGCTACTAGGGGATCCTGGCCTTACTGCTAGTAACAAGAAGCTACTAGAAACAAGAATTAGAATTAGAATCATAGTTCTCAGGCGCCCATCACCTTTGCTCTGCCGGACGCACGCATATATACAGATATATGTGCATCGAAGCAGTAGATAGCATGTTGGCACAGACGGGGCACGTGTTTGAAGAATTCCTTGAGAGGTGTTGAACCCAAAAATAAGTGAGGCTACCACCCAGTTTCAGTCCCAAGAAGACTGCTGATCCCTTTGCTGTTGTTGGGTGCTGGCGCGACCGGAGCCGGCCTTCGGAACGGTTTTGGTGCTGGCGACTGCCGTGGATCCTGATGACCGGACCGGAGCATTGAGGCTATGCTCTTTGACATTTGGAAGTCCAAGAAGGACTCCATCAACAGGAGCCGCACTGCAATGCACACACTGCAAGCCTTGATCTCAAAAGTTGAAACCAGCCAAGGGCAAGGAAAGGCATCGCATACTTAATGAGCAGATGGAGTAGAGTGAAAGTCCGGGTGGTTGTGTTGTTACATTGTTTGTATGCAGCTTAGAGCATGACCGAGTATATCATATCACAAAGACCTCGCATGGGGTTGACCGAATGACCTTGCAGGGATCAAGTCCGAAGAAGCCTCACGGCTTTGGAAGATTCGGCCGTGTTGGTGAATGCCATTGAGGACGGTTCTATGGGGAAGGAAACTGAGGCAGCTGTTTGCAGAAAGACATGTCTGCAGAATGGTGGAGTCCCTAGACCCATTAGGCAACAAGCGCATCATAGCGCATCATTTACTGTAGGTGAGCTATGTCAAAAGCCCTGAAGATCCCAAGTAAACAGTTGCACGCTTGGTGCGCTGCGCACAGGATTCATCCAGCAAATCACTGCCAGCACTGCTTAGCTGCCACATCGTATGGGGAACTTCGACCCTGATTAGAAAGCAAAACCTCTTCAAACATTCATGGAAGTGGAACCCCCTGTTTGGTATTCGGAAAGTAGGAATCCAGGGGGGGGCATGCCATCCACTTCCATTTTCGATGTTTATTTTCAGGGAGTGTACGACGACAGCATTGCTGGCGAACAAGTGTGATGTGAGATCATCAGGTCTTGTGCTTGCCGCAACAGCCTCAACATGGAGAATAGGCTCACTTATGAATTGGCAGATTTTGTGCACTGTTATCGAATGGTCAATGGTCAATGGTGGATCTTACAGTACCACTTCAAAAGCTTACGTATTCAAGACCGTAAGCTCTTCAACACATCCTCTAGAATCTTCCACCATCCATTTCATGACTCGCCGTCAATCCACTGTCCACATCGGTTCTGGGCGGGAGGGCATAAGGTGAGCCTGTACTTACTCAGAGACCATGGAATGCATACCACACAGATGGGTTTGTGCACGTATCCTGTTCAAAGGAATATTGCACTCATTTTGGACCCCAAACCTTCGCAGTAGCAACTCTTTTACAGTTCACATGCCGCTTTCCGCAGGAAGAGTGGGCCAAGATCGACAAAGACTCCTCGGGCAGTATGGATGCCAAAGAGTTGTCGCCATTTGGCCGAAGGGACTTGCCCATGGCCCAGACTGACCTTAACCATGCGGGTTCTCAGTGGCAGCAGGAGAGCAAGTTTGCCCCTATGTATAGGGGAAACGTCGTGAAATGGATGGACAAAAGAAACATGCTTCTTCCAGTCAGGGTCACCATCCGCACGAGATTGGGTTACGCCCTCATGATGCCAAAGTGAGTACTGTAATTAGTACGGATGAAAGAATGTTGCTTTTAAGTTGGCGACCCGCCACAGGTGAGAGGCTTCAAATAATTGAAACTTCAGGCCAGAGGTTGGAGGTCAAGTTGTCAAGTGGGTTGCCCACCTTTACTGATGATGTTCATGTAATGTACCGGGTTTTTCCTGTCCATCTCCTTCTCTGCTTTGTGCTTTTCACACCTGGCTTCAAATGTCAGAGCCAATCAGTCCAAAGCCAGCACATGTGATGTACAGGAGCGCATGCGTTTCGCAGATGTGATTCCCAGGTGCCCTTTGGAGGCACGAGATGGCCTCCCAAAAGGATCCAAAAGGTAGACATTGCAGCTGCCCCCCTGTTCGGTTGGCGTTTTGGCATGTGCACCGGAACAGCCCGGCTCCCCACTGTCAATGACAATCAGTATCAATGAGCCAACCACGTAGAACCAGACAGTTTGCACATGTTTGATCATGCTTCTGATTCTACATGTAAGTATATAGTGAATGTAATTAGTGTATGTGCTGTGTTTGTTTTGTGGAAAGGAGTTCAGTACTCGGACCCTTGCATCCAGCCAATGAGCGTCACAGGACGTCGACCCAAATCCCTCTGTCACATCCCATTCCCAGCCTCTTTGGACGAAGCTCGGATCGTCCAACAATGAAATCCCATTCCCAGCCAAGCAACCTACCCGCTCTTGACCACCCCCAAAAGAAAAGGAACACCAACGATTTGCGCCGCCGTGTGCCACCTCGCCACATCCAACGTATCGCTGATCACCGAGAGAGCAGCTCGTTGAGGCTCCTCTTGCAGACCTGCGGCGAGAAACAGCCGCACCCAGAGGCCGTGTCCGAGATGCTTCGGCAGATCTCGGGAGGCGAGTCGGCTCATATAGGGCTGTGGCGGCGCGTTGGGTTTTGGTTCGAGAACAGGGTGGGGTGGGGTCAGGGTACTGTACCAGATCTGTTATGAGTTGTTCTCATGTTTGTGTTTAGGCTGTTAAGGCATATGCAATTATACAATATTATGTAAGCGGAGGGTATTGAATTTGGATTGAAAGTTCAAGTGGGCTTTCGGCATTTTTCTAGCCCCGAGACAGACTGAAGGAGAGTTGGGCAATGGCATTTTGGGTCCCTTATGAGTTCTTGCGAGTTTTTGAGTCCGGACACGGGATTGCCCTCTTGTGTTGGTAACTCATCCGCAAAACGTTTGATCAACGCTAGACAGGAAAGCATTCTTCAGAAGTCTTCTGTCCGCCTCAGGCATTTTGGACTCAGTTATGTGAGGCGGAGGGCAAGTTGCCTCGGCGAATCCTGGGTTAAACTCAAGTTAGCATTTCACAAAGTGTCCATGATGTTTCTCCCATCAGGTCAGGCATTTCCACAGGAGGGCATTTCTCATTCTCAAACCGAACCATTTTGTGCCAGGCAAAGACTTCGCCACCAAGCAGGACATGGTGACCTTTGTCCATCGCCTCCGTACCTCCGACCCAACCAGCGCCGGTGGCGGCGGCGGCACGGGCATGGCGGCGCCGGCGGCGGTGGAGGAAACGCAGCGGCTCCTGACGCGGCAGCCAGGGGAGGCACCTACAGAGGCGAGGTGGAGAAGATCAAGAACTGCTTGTTTCACTTCTTGCGGCTTGGGCATTGCCGGGTAGCCGCAGCCTACGAAGACCAATGAAGATCTACAACCAGGACATATATTATTATTCCCGGCTGCATGCGATGATCACATGATAGGTAAAACAATTGGGCTTGGCCCTCCACGCTTCACTCACAGTGATCATGCCCGCTAGGCCAGGTCCGGCTAGGTTTCTCGTGACTTGGTGTTGCAGGGCAGACCCTTGCCACGCTTCACTTTGCCCCGGCCGGGCTTTTGCCAACAATGTGGCATCGTTCTGCAGCGGCGCTTTGCAATGTTCATGCGGGAAACCTGGTGGGGGCGCCCAGAAGATCATGTGAACAGCACCCCCCGTGCAAAAGTCGTTGGTGATGAGACTCCATAGTCATCAAAATCACAGTCGAGCTCCCCCCGGCTGCACCACACAAGTATCTCCCCCCAAAACTTCGACCTGCGCCCCAGGCGTCGCATGGTGGACCTGGGCTTGGTCTTCCTTTGCTCCTCGGGCATCGGCGTGATGCACCGAGGCGGCAACGGCGCCAACTCTTTGGACCTGCCAGGCCGCCGGTGGCGAACCGGGGAGCTAAAGAGTCTGAAGGATGACATCGTTTGACACTTCCAATGTTCAATAATTAGGAATTCGATTTGTATATATATATATATGTGTGTGTGTGTGTGTACCGATGTATGTATAATATGTACATGTATATGCAGGCCATTGACTTTTACGTGCCATAAGGTGTTTGACCTACTCCTGGAGGCATGGGGAGTAAAGCAATCAGCAAAGGATGCAGTGGCCAGGAGTATATCAGGTTTGGTCGTTGCAGTTCATTTTTCCAATTGCTGCCAGTGAATGGCGGCTGAGAGTCCGGAATTCTTTCACGTACACGGTGGCAAGAATAGCAGTGAACCATTTCTGACCCCCACAATGAAACAAGAATATGCGATGTATACTATAGACAAATCTCTCTCTCTTTTTGGCTATACACGTATAATCATGATTATAGTATTATTAGTTGGTCCGCCGTCTCAGCTCATGAGAGCCCACCGGTCCAACAGGCAGGCAACCGGCAGGCTGTCCAGCCCTGCCTGTCCAGCCTGTCCGCTCCGTCGGAACGAACGACCGGACGACCGCCCTCAGGGGCGGTCATCCATTCGCTGTCCGACGGGTCATGTGCCGTTCAACCTCACACTCAAGAGTTTGGAGGTCGATGTTCCATGTCCTTGGTGTCATGGGCTCCATGATGTTCGAGAGAAGTCCTGATTTGAGGCAACCTGCACATGTTCTTCATCGGCCTGGCCCTGCTTTCAGCGGTGTCCTCCCTCAAAGTCTTCGGGGAGAACCGGCCCATGTTCTGGCGTGAGAGTGCCAACGGCATCAGCGTAGGCGCTTTCTTCACAGCACGTGCCTTAGGAGACTTGGGCGGAAAAAGATGGCAGGGAGAATCTATGACGAGACAAGTTATTCCCATTTCGTTTCAGTGTAGGTGAAGTTTGATGGATGTAGATGGACGTAGTAAGGTTAGCAGAGAAAGTAGGGGAATTGCTACTTCAACTTTATGCCAGCACCTACCCTATAGGTGTCCAGCAACTGGCTGCCGCATCCGGTGCTGGGTGGGGCAGGGCACTGAACGCAGGATGTGCCGGTCCCACCAATCGCCCTCGCCGGTACCTCCTGACTTCGGATCAGAAAACTCATCGGAACATCCGATGGTCACCCGCGTCCGACCGCGATGCCCTGTGTTCCGTTCGTAGCTTCCTGTGACTGCCAGGAGCTACTAGTAGCGTCCTTGCTCCTAGTAGCAGGTTGGTAGACATTTCGTGTTTGTGGATCCTTGCTTTGGAAGGGCGGGAGGTTGACCTTGGTTCCTTGGTGCGAGGGGCGCCCAGGGTGTCAGAGCGTGGGAAAGATGAAGAATCCGTTGGATGTCAATGATTGGCAGGGGTCAAACATGGTAAGGTAACATGGTGAAACCGAGTGAAGCCCAAACCTGACCAGTGATATGTGGTGAATGTGCTGTCATGTGCTGTCCATGATGTTTGCTTTTTGAGAACGGCGGGAGACCTCACGGCCGCCAAGGAAACGTCTTTGACGTGCTCTTGCTTGGTAGCACCTATGTCTTGAAGCTTGCCAGCACTCGATCCAAACTTTGAAGGTCGCAGCACCCAACCACGCAGCTTGGAACAAGCACTCATCCTCTGAGGAGAGAAGCAGAGGAGGAAATCAAACCAAGAACGCCTTGTTCCCAGTCTAACTACCTGCTCGACCTTGGTTCACCCCAAGTCTCAGATGGATTCAACTTTCATAGCCAAGGGGCAGCCAAGGGGGATGTGGATCAAAACATATCCAAATCAAGCCATCTCAAAACCGTGGCAAATGAACACCCGCACCGACTGGCTATTTTCTCCAATGCTGGGTGGGTGGCTTGCTTTATTAGGTTTGTGATTTGCTGCTACTGGCAGTCGGTACTCAGGTACAAGTTGACAGACCTGACTCCCCCGAAGATTAAGATGGAACGTGGAACAAGAGGTTTTGTAGATAAAGCAGTCTTGCATTACAAGGGTGGTTATACAATGTTATACACATTCTCCTTCCAGTTCCATGTTAACCTTCCACGGAGCAACCACCAGCTTCTGAGGATCTACTTTATCTTGACCAGGCCAACACACCGACCAGTGTTTTGTTCGGGGTCGTGAGGGTGTAGCATGGGCATGGCGGAATGGTGGCCGTTCTGTTGTTGGATGTGCACTAGGACCTTCGGTATTCCGATATATTCCGATGTTTTCCTCAGGGAGAGCTTGGTAGGAGGAAACATCGGGAGCTGAGAGCAAACATACGCTAGACTCATTCAGTGGAACGCAGCCTCCTTGGAAGGATCTTGGATGAGCGATTGGCCTGCATATTCCAGGGTCATGCTCAGCCTCCCAGACTGGGGCAAGCATTAGAATCCCCGGACCCTGTCTAATTTTTTTTGCACATGACCCAAATGGTGCTTCTACTGAGTTCAGGGAATGCATTATAGAGATCTATGCAGTTTTAGCAGACTTGCATGCTCGAGAGGCCTCCAGTGCCCTACATGGACTACTTCATTCCTGGCCTTTTAGTGGCTTTTGCAGCTGCGAGCTGGGGATATTTGAGCCTTGGCCGAACTATATGTTTGCCAATGGCCGTGGCATAAATCGGGCAAGTCTAGTGAGACAAGATACCCTGCAAGTGTTTGACGGCATGGGTTGAAAAAGGACGAGCTTTTGGAACGACTTGATTGTTTAGCTGCGGACTTTGACATCAAGGGGATTTGCAAAAGACCTGGGGTCCTGTTGCCCCTACAGCAAGCAGCACCACACTTCACATTTCCTGCCGTGAAGCACGTCGCAAATCACCTTCCCTTTCGGTTCGCCGGACGCAGATCTGATGGCGGGCTGCGCCAGGATCTCTGCAGTGATTCAGCCACACAATGCCACGACGGCCACGGTGATGTTCGTCCTGGTGGGTTGCGGAATCCTGGGCAACCCCTATCGGATGCTTGGCCAGTTCATGGGATCGGTCGGGGAAAGGTCTGAGCAGACAAGAAGAACATGGGGAAGGCGGGGGCGAAGCATGAAGAGGCTTTGTGAGAGCAGGCAACAAGTTCATGGGTAGAGGATGCCTACTCGGAAGGGAGTATCCAGATGTATCCAGTATCCATTTTTAAAATAGACCCTACTAGCAAGGTTCACTTTTTGTGTCCGGGAGGTTCAGGAGTTCAATGAACCCTGGTGTAGCAAATCGTTTGCTCACGGATCGGGCTGGTGCAAGCCACTGAGAATCAGATGGGGTCAGGGTGGCTGAATCCCAGCTTTGCTTTGCTCTTCACTCTTCACGGAATTCTGACATGTTGGCTGGGGCGTAGGGGCTCATGCACTCGCCTGCTAGCTGCTTGCTAGAGGCACTTGCTTTACTAGGGGCAGTTGGACTAGATATCACGGATCCAGGCGCCTTGCTTTGTTCTTGGCACTAAGGACGACTGATTTGATGGATGGAGGGGCCAAAGAGATTCTGCAGCTTGTAATACGGGACCTCACCAGACCTCACTGGTCTCACCACGCCCTCGTGAGACCGTTATACTCGAACACATTCTAATTTCCACCATCAGCTAGAATATAGTATATAGCATGCTTGCTATAGATACAAGTTGAGGAAGAATGCGAATCTAGGTTCCAACATGTGGCTGCTTGAAGCAGCCGTTGCAGCTGCAACTGGCACATCCAGTATCTATTGAGTTGCTCTCAGGTGAGGTGAATGTCGCAGTATGAAGAGAACAAGGCATGACATACCCTGAACCATCATGTGGGATGTGCCTCCTGATGTCTCCTCGTGATCTCAGGGTTGATGTGGATGTTTGTTCTTTTGTGCATGTGATTTGTATAGTGTTCGTTCTAAATGGGAGGCTGAGGCAAAGCAATCATTCACCATGACTTCTCGGTGCCTTCCGCGGTACTGCCAGTGACGGTGCCAGTTGGCTTCGTTGGTTTGGCACCTGAGGCGCAAGTGTGCACTCCAAGTAGTCCAGGGAACCCCCCTGAAATGGAGCTCTCCAGGGCTTTACCCATTGGGCCAATTCGGCTAAGGCTCTCTCTGTCCTTGAATCGCTGGGCCTTGCCTATGTGCTTGTCCGCCACCATTGAGTCCGCCCAAAGCGAGTCGTTGTGTATCGATGTGAATGTCCTCTTGGCGCACCAGGCGGGAGAGAATGAAGCTGCAGAGTTGAACCTCATTGAGCCTCCTTGATTTCAAGGTCCCTGAGCTTGTTTTGGCCTCGGGTCGAGAAGAGAAGCTGGAAAACCTTCAGACTTGTTGGCGACTCCTTGTGAGTGAAAACGGCACGGCGAGTTCCGACCCTTCACCTTCCAGAAAGCGCGAAGCTCTTGACACCTGCCACCCGGCACCTGCCACCCGGATCCCGGCGCCAGGTTTACCACAATGAGATGTCACACGGGAAGTACACTTTGTGGAACCAGGGGGTCTTGGCTTTGTCCTGCACCACCCTGGTGGTCACGCTCCTGGCCTTCCTAGGGCTGAAATTCACCAACCGCAGCAAGCAGGTGTGAAGCACACCATCCCGAGGCTTGCAACCGCTGGCAGAGTGAAAAGACTGGAATCATCTCGAATCACTGGGCGGCCGGAGCTTAGTCACAGAGTCAAAGCACCTGTTCTCAAGCCGAGTAGTCGGTGCCTTGCAGCATGCTCACAAAGGTGGACTCATAGATGGCCCACGCTTCTCTTTGAGGCATTTGTTGGTACCCCTTTTGGATTCAATTGTGGTTTCTGCAGATGACAAGCGCAGTGACACTTGCCCAACTGGTTGCATTTCATCATTGTCAGCCTTTTTAGTTGCATGACTGATCCACATTGACATAGGCACAGGCGTAGGCATACAAGATATGGCAAGCAAATATATGTTTAGTTCTCCGCCTTGAAGGAAAGAGGGCAGGAGTACGTCACACATGTCGCACCATTTTGGTAGATCCACCTCCCACATCTCTCGAGCATTTCGCTGGCCAGGATCCACCCGCTTGTAGCCAGCTGCCGCACATGGGACGGTGGGACTCCCAGAGTCCGGTCGAGAGCACCAGACGTCCTCGCCCCAGAAACGAGCAAGGACATGCTTGAGCTATGCACCAAGAGCAGTCAATTTGATCCCAAACCTCCCCATCCCACCAGGCCCCGTCCCACCAAACGCTCAACTCTGGCCATGTGTCACATGATTTCCCCAAGCAGTTTCCGCGTAAAAGGATCTTGACGGTCATATTTTTGGGAGACTATAGCTTGGGCACAGCCCATTGACAGCTGGAATTGAAATGCTATGGGTACGGACCATATGGTTGCATTCCATTGTTTCAGGGTCGAATCTTGCTGAGGGCTCATGAACCACAAGAAGAATGAACAAATAGTCCATGCGGGACTCCATTTGTGATTATTTAGGTCCACCGTAAACATGTCTTTGCCGGTCCAAACCTGCGCGAATGTTGTTTCCCAAGCAGAAACAAGGAACTGAGTGGCCTCAGTGTGTGAAATTAATTAATCGGCCCACCTGTGAATCCAATTTGTTGAAGCTTGTTGAAATATTTCACAATTTCACAAGGACCTTCAAAGTGCCCAGTTGAGATCGCAGGATGAGGTCACTTAGGCCGGTAAAGGGCCACTTGGAGACTCCAAAGAGATCACTTTGAAGGTCCTGGCGGCTTTGTTTTAGATGTTCCAGAAGCCAGAAGACCCAGGCTTTTATGCTGCTCCCACCATCTCAGCCAGGGCCCCCAAGGCTCACCTCAAACGTAGTTCTGTTGTTATCCCAGGTGGTTGACCCCTCAGACGCTAGGAAAGGGACTCCGGCCAATTGGAAGACCAACGGAATCATACTTTGCTAGCTTCAAACCCTATGGTGACACCAAACGCCAGACAATGTCAGTAAGTCGAGTAAGTAGGTTTTTTATGGTTTATTCAAGTTTCCTTCTACCATGAATGCCCCTTTGAGGGCATTCCTCCTTCGTTATTGCAACGGAGGACCCTGCTTCTGTTTGAATCAACTGATGTTTGGGTTTGGCGACCCGCTCTCTCTCTCTCTATATATATGGACTGCGCTCAAAAAGCCATATTCAAAAAAATATAGATAAACGTAAACTTTTAAGGTTAGAGATGTGTTTTAAAGTGATCGTTTAGAAGCGGGCCCCCAGCAGACTATGGTGATACAGCAAGGCAGCGCTAGATTGGCGCTAGATTTCTTCATAACAGGATGAGCAAGCAGGAAAAGAAACAAGCAGAGAGCAGGAAAAAGAAGAAGCAAGACAAGAAAAATAACAACAAAGCAGAAGAATAATAATAAGAATAATAATGCACAACAAGAACAAGAAGACAAGCAAGCAGGAAAAGTAAGAATCTGACAGGATCAAGAAATCAACGGATATTTTTGCGCTAGGCTGGCGCTAGATTCGCGCTAGCACCGCGCTAGACGACGGTCCATTTCTTGACCAATTGCCCATCCAACATCGAAATCTTTTGAGTCAGCTTTTGCATCCTTCCTATGTTGTCGTCCTGAAGATTTCTGAGAACAAAAATGGGAAAGTCCAGCAGCAGCAGCAGCAGTAGCAGCAACAACAGCTCCAGCAGCTCAACAGGCCCCTGAAAAAGTCCGCGCTAGACACCTCTCACAGTTTTTGCAGTTGACATGCCTTCATGCTTAACATCCCTGTGGTTTGAGTGTGGTTGGAGTTTAGAGGAGATTTAGAAGCGGGCCCCCATGGAATTGCGATGAGTGCACCATTTTGGGAAAATACATTTTGGAAACCAACCATGCACATATACAAACATACACTGTATATAGCTCGACTACTGTTACTTATATATCATAGAGTTCATTTTTGGCGCGCACATATATAAATATATATGTTTCATGTATGCCCTGTAAATATACACACGCAAGTACATATGTATACAAAAGAGAATTGAAGCCTTCTTCAAGGGCCACACCCACCGGACGCAATCCCTGTCAAACGATTCCCGTGGAAGGAGGAGCTCGACTCTTTCTCTTTTGGAACTGCTCAAGCCTTGGGGATGGACATGTGTGTGCCAACCGGCAGTGACATGCCCAAACCGGTTGATCCTTCCTGCCGGCGAGGTTCCCTGGTGAGACGCCAGAGGAGAGCCAAAGGCCTTCTGAGTCCGCGGGAGGGAGCAGACTGGCCGAGGACAATTGCCAGGTCATAATGTTTTCTCGGAAAGCGAGCAGAACAGGAATCGGAACATATCGGAACATGCCCGATTTGGCCTTGTGCAGGCATGGCATTCCACGCCGCAAAAGCAAAATCACGTAACATCAGTTTGTGACTAATTGACTGAGATCTCATGATAGCTGCCTCGCAACGAAAGTGGTGATACTGAGACCCACGAACGTTGTCACTCAAAGTCGCATGGTTTTTTCGTGGTCAACCGAGGCTTTTTGCCACAAGTGGTTTGCATGGTTGATTGAGCCTCAGATGGTTTTCTCCCTTGGGCAGGGCGTGGCCCATGAACTACACCCCCCACGCAGCTTCAGCTGAGCTCTCAGATTCGGTAAAGAAGATTTGTGGGATGAGCGGGAGGTCTGCAAAGACCGGCAAAATTGTTTTGGGGCTTTCTGACGTCGCGCAGAAAGATCACTCCACTTTAAGATGTTTAAGGTATTTAAAGGTAGTGTTTAAGGTAGAGCTGGGGAGCATGATTCTTACCTTCGGTGCTGCGCGTTGGCCACCAACATCAGCTTCTACTGGTTACAGTCGGCATCCAGTTGCCAACAAAATATAAGGAGGTCAAACACCGGTCCGATGTCCCGGCACCAAAGCGAGTAGCCTGATCCGCAAAGTGTGAAACCATGCACTGCAACACCACAAAGGGTGAGGCCTGACGTCGCTGATGGCAGAGGTAGATCCAAGTCAGGCTGAAAACGGATGTATATTTGGAAGGACCTGGGGCCGGGATAGTTCGGAAGCCTCAGGTACGCCTCGGCTGTGACCAAAATCTAATCTTGATGATGCATGCCCACGGTACAACCCGACTACGGCCAATGAGTGCAAACATCGTGCCAAGCAAAATGTGCGAGGTGCTGGCCGCAAAACGCCAACCAGCAGCCGGCCTTTTGCAAGCCTGCTACTGAGTTGGGTGACACACTGGGCTGCCAAGGGTTTGATCCCTCACGCGGGTTAGCTGGTTCCAGTCCAGCGGAGTCCAGCGGGTCCGGCATCGAACCCTTTTGGATCCTGGGCAACGCTGCTCGACAAATGTCCAAATTTGACTGATAGAAGGCCAGGCAGTTTGAAGATACAAGATCCCCATTCATCAGTCAAATGGTGAAATGCATGGTCGATTATGAGATTTTATAGCCACACAGCCCGAGAAGCTCAAAGTGCGTTACTGAGCATTACTATGGCCAAGCCCAGCCAGCACGGCTGCACATTCTCCTCTTCAGTGTAGTCTCATCTCATGTAGCCTCAAGGTGCCTGAAGCAGATATGTCCTCTATGCCCGTCATTTCCCTCAACCCAGTCAGTGGATGACCTTTAACCAGTCCTTGAACCTTTTTGGGGGATGGGTTGCTCACTCAACAAGAACTGGCGAAGCTGGCATGTACCCTCTATTTTCCAGGGAACCGGCTTGCCTTCGCTTCAACCTCCCCAGACCCACCCCAGACCTTTTCGTCGTGCTGCGGGTGTTTCGAACCACTCGCGGTGTGAGGCTCTACTCGCCGGTGCTGCTGCAGAATTTCACCGATGCGGGGCCGGGAGCTGAGGGGCGGAACGAAAGTGGTGCATGGGCCGAAGAATATGACCATGTTCCGAACACCAAAGTCCGGTGGTCCGTGCTCCTCCACTTCCATGGAAGGTTTTCCTCGAAGTTGTAGGGTCAAGTTGCTGAGTTAGATGTGCCTCTGAAGGAGCCCTGGTCAGGTAGCAGGAGACGTCACCAAGCGCCTTGGTGGTCAGGTGACTCAACCCCTGTGTTTTCTTTCGGGGAAAGCACCTCCAGCGCTGCTGAACTTGGATTCCTGCTCCGGCGAACCATTCGGAATTCAACCAACCAATATAATCAACTATGCGACTATACGACTTAGGAACTAGGTCCACATTGTAGGGCCGCTCCGCTAGATTGAGCGCTTTGAGGTGAGGTGCTTGCTTGGCTCAGGAACCTCCAGAAAAAGCATCCAGCTAGCTGTGTCAATCACCACCTGCCAAAACCAATGCAAACACTCCATTTCAGTAGGCCCCCCAGATTTAGGATGACTTGCTCATTTTCATGCAACTTGCTCTTCCAAAAGGCATTCATTCCATCCGAAAAACGCGCCGGGACCGCGCACTTGTGAAGCACCAGCAGGGTTGGACCCCTGCCTCGGTGGTTCGCTGGTGAAACGCTTGATGATGGGCACCGATCCCAGAGGAAGCCACGCCTCTCAGGCGATGTGCTGACCTGCAGCGGGTGACACTGCCCGAGGAAGAGTGCGGATCCCGACCAGACCGCCAGGTGTGGTAGGTTTGGTGGTGTGAGATGGCACTCAGAGAAATGGCGCAATGGGGATGGTTTAT